AAATGTTAACCGTTAAGTTATATAAGCCTAGGGAGGCTGGAAGAATTAGGAAGATTTCGTCTTAAAGTTTCATTGCAAAAATAAACATGACACTACTTACATTTCCTTAGTTCGGGTCACCTCCCATTGCCTCTGTGCATTGTTGATAGCAATGCGACGCTTTTCCTGAAAGAACCCAATCACACCATAAGCAACTAAGACAAAAGACGGTGATGCCATAACTCCGTTACAGATTGTAGGGAAAGTTCACTGAAAAAACTACCTTGAGAACAGCCAGTTTACTGATTTCTTTCTTTTTCTCTTCTTCTTTTCTGGCCATAACTGAGGCTATTCTTTTCTCCTCTTCCTGATGGAAATAAAACATTACGTCATTATTGTATGTCGATTGACATGCCACTTGACATTTTTGAAGGAAACACCGCTGACAAACAAGAGATTCATAATCTTTTGTGACCAAGCAGTTCCTGGTCGTGGGATATTCCAGAGTATACAACTCGAAAGAGTTGGAGAACTAGTATTTGTTATAGAGCTGGCGTTTTTCCCGCTATAGCGCGCCCATTCATTGGCTAGTTCATGATCACATGACATCTAACAATGAAACTGTCTGCCGCCAAACGCCATGAGCGGGCAACATTGCGAAAACTATGGCGTCAAACGGGAAACAGTTTACTGTTACCAGCGAAATGTTGACTGCTGTTGCACTTCATTTGTCAATAAAGTGATTATTTGTTTTCCATCGGTTTGACCCATTTGTTTTGCTATATAACAAATCACTTAATGACTGGTCCCTTGGGGAACAGTGCAGTTTGTTTTCCTCGAATCTCAATGTTTCCCTTGACTTCGTCTCAGGAAACAAAATTCACTGTTCCCCTCCGGACCAGTCATTAAGTGTTAATTACTGCTAACAAAATTGCATTCCGTGACCCAATCTGCGATAATGAAGAGTCCGGTCACAACAAATGAAAAATTACAAACCAATCACATCTCAGAGAAAAATGTACACCTCCGATACTACAGGCGTTGAGGGTGGCGGGAAAATTATCATCGCTTCTCCAGAGAGCAGCTTCAAAATCGATTTGAGGACAGAAGACAGCAGATTCAACACAAGAAAATAGGATTTGGTAGCGAAACAAGAGCCATGTCTATTAGATGTATAGACAAACACATAGTCACCCGTCTATCTCACAATAATAGATATCAACCCATAGTTTCTTGAGTGCCCCTATAAACTGTAGAATACCTTTGAAAACATGGTTTATAGCCCTGTAAATCCATGTAAACCCCGTTACACATACGTTTTGTATGTATCTGTAATATTTATACGGTTCTTACTGATATTCTCTTCATGTCCAGTTGCCGTAGGTTTAACAGATTCCTGAGTATGACCTGCTTGTAAGAAGGATCGGTTGAGAAGGGATTTCCATCCATGGACAGTTCATTCAGTGAAGTGGAGTTCGACAAGCATAGAATGTCATCAAAACTGAACAATGAGAGGAAAAAGATGATCAATTACTTAAATCCTGCGAGGAAGACTCTTAACTTGCGAAGCACTTGCCAATGAGGTCATTCACTGGCACTGGAATGACCTACTCTAGTCAATAATGATGAAGAAAGCAAACTTTAATTGAAGCACTGGATTGAGATGCAATTTTTAAAAACTGGTTTATATTGGCAGTTTCTGATCACTTAATCATCTTATACTCTCTTTTGGAATTCTAACGCGTCCTTGGTGCCGCAAAAGGCGTTTCCTGTATTGCTTACTTACAGAATCTCTCTAACAGCCTTACCTTGTAATGCAATTAAAACTGAGAAACAACCTCTGTAGATTTGGTAGCAGATCAACCTCTTGCTGCAAAGCAACAAAAAAACTGGAAACAATGCTTTTCCCTTCTGAAGACACACTCAACCTTTTATAAATTGAAGTTCAAATTTTTAGCACTAGTTTATCTGACAATGGACAAGTCTGCCCAGTCTTATTAGCCAATTAAGGTTATTTCGGGCAGCCATGTACTCTTTCTATTTTAACTGATTTTTGGTCATCTAACTCTAATTTCTATGTTGAGTACAAATAAAGTTGTTGTTTTTGTTGTTGTTGTTACTGTTGTTACAATGTAAACAAAAGCTGAAATTTATGTGAAAACTTCAAAACGAGAGAAAGAAAGTAAATTCCATGGCGACAAGCAATAAGTAATGGCTACTAAAATCCTTAAAACAACTGAGCTCTAATATTTTATAAACACCATGTATTTTTTGTACAGGAACAAAAATGATTTAGAAACACATACCACAGTGCAAATTTTATTTCTCCTCAAGTTCAATTCAGCCAGAGCTCTCATTCCACTGACATTACAAACATGGACAATTTCATTACCAGCCAGGTTTAGAACCCGGAGTTCAGTGAGGTGACCAAGATTTTCAATCTTGATTATCTGTGGGAAAGAAAGCAGAAAAAAGAAAGTAATGTCTCCTGAAATATCACAAGGGCAATGAAACGCTATCTATAAAGTAAATACTATGACATGACTAAGTTAGCTCAGACCGCCATTAACTAAAATCATCCAGTCAGGACGTTCCTCCATTGTCAGTCTTTATTTGCCAAGTATTGTACCAGGCGTTTTCCCAAATGAGCCTGTACAACCTACCCAACTTTTGAAGCTTACTTTCCTAAGAGAATTAACTTAAACTTGATTGTTTTCCTCCAACTTTCCTTTTGCTTCTTTTTTCAGTTAACAAAACCGTTGGATGTCAGTACACACTTAGTCAGCTCTCAATATGAATTACACCCTTAACGTTTATGGTGTCTTTTTTGTCCATGATCGTTAGATTTTTGCTAAACGTTAAATTCAGTCTTGGAATAAATTTATCATTAACCAACTTTGCTCGGGACCAGACTAGAGAATATCACACTTTGGCCTTTTTGCACAGACCACACTGTGCTTGGTCTGTACTGCCAATACCTTGGGCCAATATTCTAACAGTACAGTCCTTATCCTTTGGTTAACAAGATATATGCATTAATTAAGGTGGTGTCCTATTCAGGCAAGGTTGAGTTGGGCGGGTTAATGTTACCACCACTCAAAGAAAATATTCGCTAATGTTGAACCTCAGCATAGGCTCGATTTCCACGTCTCTCTCAAGTCTGGTCTACGTTCCCTTCTGAGAGTTTAAGGGAGGAGCGCAGGCTCCTTTCTTTAACAGCAGTTGGTAATTGAACCTAACATTCACACCTTTCATATACATGTAAATGTAGTTGTCAATAGTGTCTGAAGCAACATCATAATACATAACCTCCCAACATGCTGAAAACTGTTTCTGTAATTACACGTAATACAGTGTATACAATATTTGACTTTATGTTCCTCCGCTCTCCTTGATTAATTTACATTTCTATCTTAGCACTTGTAACGTCAAGTACAGAGAATGCAAGCAATCCCTTCAGCAGAATCAATTGAGATTTTAATGAAAATACTATATGTACATGATGTATTTTCCTATTAAAGCAGTAAAAATAAACACAACTCAGTTTGTTTTCTAATGAAATACAAAAGGCTATTCATTTTTGCTTAACGTGTGATGTTGAGCCGGAACAATAGACCATTTCTTGATACGTCCTTCTTGGCGGTCGCAAAGGCCAGTCCATTCCACGCCATATTTGATACCAATTTGCTGCGAAGCTCAGTGGCTGACTTTTCCCAGCCTTTCCGTCATAACATTACTTGTTTTTTATTCTTTCAAAGCTGTTCTTCATGAACGTGTCCAAATCGTTTAAGTCTGTGACAGCTGAATGCACCATTTTACAGAAAACTTCTGGTAATATTTCATTCAATTTCTTTTTCTTACGTTCTGTAAGTATGGCAGTATGTGCGATCTCCTTCATGTAATTCACCGCGAATGTTCGTCTTTCCTCTGCTTCCTGGTGAAACAGACAGCACAATTATTAACTTGGATGTCAATAAAATTTTTAGTCGGGATATAAACCTGAGTAAACATACATGTATCTTAATGGCTAAGTGCAAGGGCCTTGTAAACTGGCAGAATATCTGCTGTACAGATATATTGACAGCACCTGGCGAGTCCGTTGTGAGTCCGCTGGCCAGTATTGTAGTCCTGCTCGGCTGACAGATTCGTTGGAAGGAGCCCTGTATAATGGCCAAAAATTAATTTAGTTCACTTAACATGGCATGAGGTATACCTTGCTGTTAGGAAGCAGATTTTAAACAGTTATGAAGAAAGTGAATACCTCTCGTGTTTGCCCTCTGGTTTCTTATTCTTATCTGCGTCAAGAACTTGTTTTCGTCTGAAATGAAAGAGATTGAAGTCAACGCGTGTAATCAATACTGGAAACTGAACACCTCGTCTATCCAGCAAGCATTAATCCCAACAGAAGAGGCGATATCTAAGATCTGGTTGGTAAAACGATCAACGCTTATCCACGATTGTGTTAAAACTTGGCTTTAGCTTTCGTTGCATACGCCCAGGGCCTCTAAAATTTGAATTAACCAATCAGCATTCAGCAGGCGAGAAAACCGTGAACTGTCCTGAAGATAAATGTATGGTCATAGGAAAGGCAATTAAACCAGGCTTCTTTTCTCTCTGGAAACCGCATTGACAATTCACGAAAAGGGATCTCATACGCCAGAAGCAATAACAGATCGTAACAAATGAACCAAGTGAAACATTCTTTCTCTGCAAGCGTGGACCGCACGCAACCGGCGGCAACGCGCTGGCCACCTGTCTCCGAAAAGGACGCAAGGATAATGGCGCAATTCATAGCTTGTTCTTTGTTAAATTAAACCCAGCATTCTCGAAATAAGAAGAACAGGCCAAAAAAACTTTAGCATTGTCTTCATGTTTGTTTAGAAAAGAAAAGGACTTTCATCATGTCGTTTTGATGGGACAATACGGTTTTCAATGCCAATCATCCGTAGCCGTCGGAAGATCGCACCTTAGTTTTCAGTGACAAAGAGTTCCCTCGTATAGCTTTTACCGTCCACCGTTCACCGTCTACCGTCCATTATGCCTTTTATTTACTTTGATAACTAGTCTCAAACCAGTTGAAGAAATTGTGCAACCATTTAACAAATTGACGTCAGGTTTTCATGTGTCTGTCCTGTTATTGATCATGAATTTCATCATAACATTGTCAAAGTAGCTGTGGATTCACGAGTCAATAACTAGACAGACGCATGAAAAACTGACGTCAATTTGTTTTTTACGATAACAAATCGTCACATTGCCCGCTGTCGCTCGTTGACGCAACGCATAAATTATAAATTCATGTGTCTGTCAGCTTATTGACAATGAAAATTAGCCAATGAGCGCGCGAGAATTTCTGCAGTTATTGCAAAATAGTGCACCGTTGTCAATGACTAGACTGAACTGACCGTGAGTCTCCTAACATGGTGAGAAGTCTGGACTGAGGAAGCTGAGATGTCGTGATGTGAGCCAAGGTTCCAAACAGTTTCTCAGCATTGACATTGTCTTCAGCTGTCACCTGGAAAATCAGCCAATAAAAAAAAAAAACAATATTTGTAATACCAGGGTACCCTTCTAGTTTTTGCTTGGCGTTCCAGGAAAATATGCTCTATAAGTTTATGGGCATGATACCTTTAAAAAAAAAATGGTTTTGCGATTGAAACAAGGATCCTATAAATCAAACAAGCTTAAGCATAAATTGTATTTTAGTTTGCATGGCGCATGTGATCGTCTGGGTGAGGGTACTTCTAGACAATCACACTATAGGACCTACTGGTAGTCCTAGGTTCAAACCATTTACAGTCATATTTTAGTAACAGAGAATAACGCAAAAGAGATATGTTGATACATGTTTAAACAGTACGGAGCAAGGGGGGGGGGGTTGGGGTAAGACGAAAATGGATTAGGACGAGACAAGAGAGCGGCCTACACGAGAAGAAAACCAGCACCTTCTCGCACATGCAACTTTTTTGCGTTCATGTTCACGAGAGCAGCCTAGTATAATCTAAACTAACCTCTACATCGTTGATTTTTCTGAGAGAGAAGTGAGCCAAACGGAAGAGCACGTAAGGTTTCCACAAAGTAAAGGAGGTTATAGGATTTCCCTCGTTGCTGATATTAAGATGTTCAAGTCTTCGTAAAAGAGACAAACAATTGATTTGCTGCAAACCTTTGATATTCGTCTCTGTAAATGTAAGGCCCTGTTGACGAAGACGAAGAAATAAAAATCCAGATTTCATTCAGTATAGCCTTGGTTATCACCTCGTCCTGCCCCGAGATTATTCATCGCTCTTTGATACAAACTAAGCTAAGTTAGGACTTTTATTTACAGACTAGGGTAAATCTAGATCACGATTAGCTCCTCTTTTTTGTTCATAGCGCGGCCATTTTTCCAATCACACCTGGGGGTAATGTTAAGGGCGGAAGATGACTGACATTTCTGGTTAATTACGTCGCAATGTCACCTCAGGACAAAAAAGATTTAATGGAAATGAAATAAAATGAAACATTTTCTACATCACGCAATTTCTGGTTTCAGCAGCTGGAATTCGCACAGCGTTCACAGGTTACCAGATTCACTGTTTGAAATAAGTACCGCTGCCTAAGGAAAGTTCTTGTAAAGAAATTAATCCTATTGCATCATCCCTAAGATACTCACCAGCAGGGAGGGAAATCGAGCTCTGATCTTGTACAGCTGAGGAACAATGTTGTCAAAGTCGATGAATTTGAAGGAGATCGCACTGACAGCCTGCACGGCCTGGTTACCCCAGTTACGATCCAGCGCGTCCAAGGAGCCTGGGCCATACAAGTATAACGTGTCGTTGTCCAGTTCAGCAAGGTGACAGATACTCAGAGGGGAGGGCGCAGTATCCCTTGTACTAAAATACATTCACAGAGATGAGTATTGTACCGTGTAAAGTATAACCTTGGTTTAGCGAGCTCAGATGTGAAGAGCAAATATTAGGTTACGATAGTGGAACTTAACAAATTGCGAAATACCCTAGTTCTTTGCGACAAAAATCAGGCGATAAAATTCCGGTTGTTTTGTATGTACAATGTAGTGAGCAAAGTTTTGTATGCAGTGGTCAAAGTTATGACCTGCTCAGGTGTTCGAAAACTGGCGACGAAAGCAGAAGGTCCGTCACCCAGGTGACTGTTTGATCTCTAGCGATTAGGGAGCACGCTCTAATTGCCTATTTGGAGGAACGAGGTTACTTACTCTATACAGTCGGTGAGTTCATTACTTGAGGTCTGGGGAGCAGTTTCCAGGGTATCCCGGGACTCGGTCTTCACACTGTAAAACAAAAAGATGAGCTTATAGAAACGGAAAATGTTAACCGTTAAGTTATATAAGCCTAGGGAGGCTGGAAGAATTAGGAAGATTTCGTCTTAAAGTTTCATTGCAAAAATAAACATGACACTACTTACATTTCCTTAGTTCGGGTCACCTCCCATTGCCTCTGTGCATTGTTGATAGCAATGCGACGCTTTTCCTGAAAGAACCCAATCACACCATAAGCAACTAAGACAAAAGACGGTGATGCCATAACTCCGTTACAGATTGTAGGGAAAGTTCACTGAAAAAACTACCTTGAGAACAGCCAGTTTACTGATTTCTTTCTTTTTCTCTTCTTCTTTTCTGGCCATAACTGAGGCTATTCTTTTCTCCTCTTCCTGATGGAAATAAAACATTACGTCATTATTGTATGTCACTTGACATGCCACTTGACATTTTTGAACAAAACACCGCTGACAAACAAGAGATTTATAGTCTTTTGTGACTAAGCAGTTCCTGTTCGTGGGATGTTCCATTGTCTACAACTCGAAAACGTTGCATAACTAGTATTTGTAATAGAGCTGGCGTTTTTCCCGCCATAGCGCGCCCATTCATTGGCTAGTTCATGGTCACATGACATCTAACAATGAAACTGTCTGCCGCCAAATGCCATGAGCGGGCAACATTACGAAAACTATGATGTCAAACGGGAAACAGTTCACTATTACCCGCGAAATGTTGATCGCTGTTGCACTTCATTTGTCAACAAAGTGATTATTTGTTTTCCAACGGTTTGACCCATTTGTTTTGCTATATGACAAATCACTTAATGACTGGTCCCTTGGGGAACAGTGAAGTTTGTTTCCCTCGAATCTCAATGTTTTCCTTGACTTCCTCTCGGGAAACATTGAGATTCTCGGGAAACAAAATTCACTGTTCCCCTCCGGACCAGTCATTAAGTGTTAATTACTGCTAACAAAATTGCATTCCTTGACCCATTCTGCGATAATGAAGAGTCCGGTCACAACAAATGAAAAACTACAAACCAATCACATCTCAGAGAAAAATGTACAACTCCGATACAAGAGGTGCTGAGGGTGGCGGGAAAATTATCATCGCTTCTCCAGAAAGCAGCTTCAAAATCGATTAGAGGACAGGAGACAGGAGATTCAACAAAAGAAAATAGGATTTTGTAGCGAAACAAGAGCCATGTCTATTAGATGTATAGACAAACATATAGCCACCCGTCTATCTCACAATAATAGATATCATCCCATAGTTTCTTGAGTGTCCCTGTAAACTGTAGAATACCTATAATAACATGGTTTATTGCCCGGTAAATCCATGTAAACCCCTGTTACACATACGTTTTGTATGTATCTGTAATATTCATACGGTTCTTACTGATATTCTCTTCATGTCCAGTTGCCGTATGTTTGACAGATTCCTGAGTATGACCTGCTTGTAAGAAGGATCGGTTGAGAAGGGATTTCCATCCATGGACAGCTCATTCAGTGAAGTGGAGTTCGACAAACATATAATGTCATCAAAACTGAACAAAAATCAGAGGAAAAAGATGATCAATTACTTAAATCCTGCGAGGAAGACTCTTAACTTGCGAAGCACTTGTCAACGAGGTCATTTGCTGGCACTGGAATGACCTACTCTAGTTAATAATGATGAAGAAAGAAAACTTAAATCGAAGCACTGGATTGAGATTTAATTTTTAAAAACTGGTTTATATTGGCAGTTTCTGATCACTTAATCATCTTATACTCTCTTTTGGATTTCTAAAGCGTCCTTGGTGCCGCAAAAGGCGTTTCCTGTATTGCTTGTAAACTTACAGAATCTCTCTAACAGCCTTACCTCGTGATGCTATTGAAACTGAGAAACATCCTCTGTAGATTTGGTAGCAGATCGACCTCTTCCTGCAAAGCAACAAAAATGTTCACGAAACAGTGCTCTTCCCTTATGAAGACATACTTAACCTTTTATAAATTGAAGTTCAATTTTCTTTATTAGTTTATCTGACAATGGACAAACAGAAGCCGAGATTTATGAGAAAACTCCAAAACAAGAGAAAGAAAGTAAATTCCATGGCATTCTGCAATAAGTCATGACCACTATTTGAGACACTAAAATCCTTAAAACAACTGATCTCTAACAAACACCATGGAATTAATTTACAGAAAAAGAAATGAATAAGAATCACATACCACAGTGCAAATTTTATTTCTCCTCAAATTCAGTTCAGCCAGAGCTCTCATTCCACTGACATTACAAACATGGACAATTTCATTACCAGCCAGGTTTAGAACCCGGAGTTCGGTGAGGTGACCAAGATTTTCAATCTTGATTATCTGTGGGAAAGAGAGCACAAGAAAGAAAGTTGTCCGCTAAAATATTGCAGGGGCAAACGCTATCTTTAAAGTAGATGTTGACATGACTAAGTTATCTCAGAACGCCATTAACTAAAATCAACCGGTCAGCTAGGACGTTCCTCTATTGCCAGTCTTTATTTGCCAAGTATTGTACCAGGCGTTTTCCCAAATGAGCCTGCACAACCTACCCAAATTTTGAAGCTTACTTTTCTAAGAGAATTAACTCAAACTTTATTGCTTTCATCCAACTTTTCTTTTGCTTCTTTTTTTCAGTCAACAAAACCGTTGGACGTCAGTATACACTTAGTCAGCTCTCAATATGAATTACACACTTACCGTTTATGGTGTCTTTTTTGTCCATGATTGTTAGATTTTTGCTAAACGTTTTCAGTCTTGGAATAAATCTATCATTAACCAACTTTGCTCGGGGCCAGACTAGAGAATATCGACCTTTGGCCTTTTCGTATAGACCACACTGTGCTTGGTCTGTACCGTCAAGACCTTGAGCCAATATTCTCCCAGTACAGCCCTTGTCCTTTGGTCAACAAGATATATATGTATTAATCAAGGTGGTGTCCTATTCAGGCAAGGTTGAGTTGGGCGGGTTAATGTTACCACCACTCAAAGAAAATATTTGCTAATGTTGAACCTCAGCATACGCTCGATTTCCACGTCTCTCTCAAGTCTGGTCTACGTTCCCTTCTGAGAGTTTGAGGGAGGAGCGTAGGCTCCTTTCTTGAACAGCAGCTGGTAATCGAACCTAACATTAGCACCTTTCATGTACATGTAAATGTAGGTGTCAATAGTGTCTGAAGCAACATCATGATACATAACCTCCCAACATGCTGAAAACTGTTTCTGTAATTACATGTAATACAGTGTATATAATATTTGACTTTATGTTCCTCTGCTCTCCTTGATTAATTTACATTTCTATCTTAGCACTCGTAACGTCAAGTACAGAGAATGCGAGCGATCCCTTCAGCAGAATCGACTGAGATTTTAATGAAAATACTATAATAATATGTACATGATGTATTTTCCTATTAAAGCAGTAAAAATAAACACAACTCAGTTTGTTTTCTAATGAAATGTTTGGTAACAAATATAAACTGAGTTGCATGATTTATTTAGGTACGTGGATTATTTTCAAGTAAACTTACCTTGTTGCCATGAAGATCCAACACATCAAGCTTTGTGAGCGACTCTAGGTTACTGATTTTCCTAATCCTATCATTTAAAAATAAAATAATGAATTGAAAATAATAGATTGGTTGCAGCTGGTCTTTTTGCTTATGGTCTGACTTGTAAGTGTATACCCTGGCAAAGATAAAATGCAAAAAAAAAACAGCAGCATGGTATAAATACTTGTTCTGACAAAGCTGGAAACATCTGCACGTGACTTGTAATCCAACAGCACTCCTCATTCTTCCAAACTCCCACTTGTGTTTATATTTAAGAAATACAAAACATGTTCCTCCATGTTTCTATCAAGTTATAGAAACACAAGTGGAAGTTTGGGAGAACAAGAAATCCTGTGGGAGCATGAGCCGACAGGTGATTGTTTCCACAACTTTCTCAAGTTCTTCCAAACTTCCACAAGTGTTTCTGTAACTCAAAAGAAAACAACTAGTTTGCTTTGATCATCAAAATGTGAACTCTCTTTGCTTGCACCACCATTCTATCATGTTTTAGAAAACAGTCCTAAGAAAATACCTGCACTGATTGGTTAAAAACCATGTTTCTATAACTCGATAGAAACACAGAACTAGCATGAGTTGTTGACGTGATGATGGTGTGAGCAAAGAGAATTTACATTTTGATAATCAAAGTTAACAAGTTGTTTTCCTTTTTTTGTTGCAGTGTTTTCTAAAAGAAATAGAAAACATGTTCCCAGTGTCTCTATTGAGTTATAGATTAAACACTCGTGAAAGTTTGGGAGAACTCAAAAAAGCTGTGAAACATTGGCCTGCGGCCTATGTTCTCACAGCATTTCTCGTTCTCCCAAACTTCCCCTCGTGTTTCTATAACTCGATAGAAACACAGCACATGTTTTCTATTTCTTTAAAAGAAACATGATTTGAAACCAATCAACACATATTTTTGTTGGGCTATTTCTAAAAATTGATAAAAAAAAACATGGAAAATGTTATCCACTGTATTTCTACACTGACAAGGGCATTATTTGCAAGGGAGCAAAGAGTGCAAAATCTTGGCACTTATGTATAGCTGAAGTGATGTACTACATACATGTTTATACAGAAATTCATTTACCTGTTTTTTCCCAACATGAGGACTCTGAGAGATCGCAAGGCAGACAGACCTGAAATCTCTTCAATCTGGTTATCATAAAAATCCAGGAAGATTAGTCTCTTGAGATTCTCAAGGTGGGAAATCCTGCTGATGAGATTGTGCTGAAAGTTGAGCAGCCTTAGGTAGTCTTCACCTTCAAGAATGGGACAGATTGTCAATCTTCTCCTGTAAGAGGGAAAAACAACATGAGAAAAGCCTGTGATGCAATGACTGTTTTTTAATAAGCCCAAAGTCAAATCTGAGTTCACATAAATAAAAAATTACATACACAGTGTAAGTATTGAAGTCAAATTTGTTGTTTACAAAATAGAAAACATTTTCCATGTTTCTATTGTTTATAGAAATACAAATGAAAGTTTGGAGTACAAGGGAGGGTGTGGGAAGTTGCAAACTGCAAAGAAGTTCCCACAACTTTTCTGAGTTCAGCCAAACATCCATAAGTATCCCTATGACTCAATGGAAGCATAAACAATGCAATACAACAAATATTATACAACAAATATATTTATGTGTCAATCGTCTAGATGGCTATGTACAGGGAGTCTACAAATTGGAAAGACCTAAGACTTCATACATACTCATGTATATGGAAAGCTGAATAAATACATTACTAGACAACTTAATTTTACTGGATGATATTTACAACGTTTATAACAATAAACTAATATTATAATCTAAGAATAGTCACAAGATTTTATAAAGTGTCTGATGCCATCAGTTGGGAAAGTAGGGCCTCAATAATTGTTGCACAAGTGTCAATTTGTGCACTTGTTCACAGCTGTTAAACTAGTCAGTTCCTTCTTCAAATAAAAATGTACTGCTTCACAAGAATTCTCTTAGCTTTGCACATGCAATTTTTTTACATCAACAGCTTGCCTTAGGTCTGTGTTTCTATAGAGCTAAGGATTTATTTGGTGTGTACACTTTCTTACAGCCTGTGCTTTCTTATAGATTGTAGCAGCATTTGACATGATAAATTTATACCATCCAGTAGTTTCTAAACTGTACAATGCCATGAGAAACAGCTAGATATGAAGGTAGAGAGTTAGACACTATTAAAATATATTTTAAACAATCTGGCATTGTACCTGTCAAGGTTAAGCCTGTCAGGGTTTGCCTGTCTCTCCTCAGGAAGTCTGTATACAATAGGTACACCAGGTGCTGATGGTGACTCGGCAAATATGACCCTGTCTCCTGAATAGACAAAAAATGAGAATTGCTTGAGACCTACATGTGCTATAGGGTTATATCAACAATTATTTACTTTCATTTGGAGAGTGGGATGAACTCATCGAGAAACAAATATTTGAGACTGTTGGCACTTGACCTTCCTTTGTACGTGTACATGAGTTCAGTAAAGGGAAAGTCTGCAGGGTAGGGTACAGATAGTAAAGTGCCTTGCCAAAGAACACAATAATAAAAAGCCAGCCAGGGCTGGAACCAGCACCACTCAATCCAGGATCCAGAAAAGTAGCCATTAGGCCAACATGTCTCCCAAAAGGCTACATATGTACAATCATGCATACATAATTAATATCCACATCTGGATTAGTAAGGGTAGTTGTATGGCTCACTTGGCTTGTCAGCAGAACTCAAACAGTGCACATCTACATTGTACTTAAAATAAATCCTAACTTAATCATTATCATTTATTATTTTAAACTTTTTTCCCCTTTTGTACACACAGACACTCTCACCTGGCAAGAACACTTGCATTTTATTTCTGGACTGAGCTTGTGATCCAGCACTAAATGAGTGCCGTCCCTGCAGACCGTCATCATATGCACCTTCCTGGGTCACTTTCGCTTGGCTTGTGGTTGCTCCTATCGAAGTGGTAGATTGGTCTGCGACATAAGCTGCAGCTGGCTGCAAAACCTGACGCTGAACCTTGTGAAGTTCTCGGAAGGAGGGGGTGGCATAATGCTGTTTGGAGTCTTGTGTTGCATCCATACTTGAATGAGAATATTCTGACAAAAATATAAAAATATACATTGGCTAATCATACACTGGCTGTCCAAAAGTGGTAAATAACTTACACTTTATTATATCTCTCAATTAGTGCATACGCTGTGATTGGCCAATTTAGCAGGCCATATTCTACTGTACGGCCTGCTAAAATTTAAAGCTGCTTTTGTTGCCAAAATGTTTCATGATTTATCACCACATGTTCCTCACTTTTTAGCAAGTAAAACTTTAAAACTTTCTTTTACATCAGAAATTGTGCATTAAAACCTGCTAATGACTTAAGAGTCACTTTACAATGATTTCAAATTGACTTTTTTTGCTTTTGAGGTGCGTCAGAAATTTGAAGCCGTTTCGCGTCAATAGAAATCATTCCCAAATCCATCAGGCACACAGTAGAGTTACACTAAATATCTTACTAAACTTGTTTTCTTGGTCCTGTAAGTTACAGATCCTCGTTTATCCCTTTCTATTATGGCCCGCGCGTTTCGTGCTTAGGCTATAAATCAATGGGACAATTTGGTCCTCAAACTCGGTTAGTAAGACGTACATGTAGTAGTATCAAGTTATTTATAGGCACTTGCTTGAAAGACTTGAAAATTTCACCTTTCAACATTACATCACCCCGAAACTAGTTCTGCAGTAAAACCAGACAAGGTCACTTGAAGCTTTATGTTAATTCTTTTAATTTATCATACACAATATACATAATGTTTCTTGCCACTCGCTAAGCTATGAAGACTAAAATTCAGTGTAAAATTTTGGTAAAAAAAAGACAACTTAGTTTGGTTTGGTTTTGGTTTTATGACACTCATTTGAAAACCACTCTATTGAGTGTTGAAAGTAACGAGGCAATTGCTTTGGTTTTACTGCGGTTTGAGATTGGCTGATTACTCCAATTGGCAAGTAATTGGTTTGGCTTTGGTTAACATTTTCCAACACTCAATTGAAAATCACTCTGTGCAGATATTTTTATATCTACCGTGCACTGAATAGGGATTTACTCTATGTAATGTATAATTATTACAAAGTCTAATATTCAAAGTTCAAAAGGTAATTGGAATGACATCAGGTATAATCATATTAGTGACAAGAACACAAAATTCTTGATTACTTACGCAAAAAAGAAGGACGTTCAATGTCTTGAGGAGGTGATATTGTATGACGGTATTTTGCTTGATTGTCAGCCCTTGTGTTTGATGTTGGTCTCGTCAGGGGACCAGCCTCTCGACTGTATGGGTTTTGCTTCCATTCAGGACTACCCTATGTACATTTCAAATACAGGGAGAATGTTAAGGCTGGGTTAAAACACATACTGTAACAAAACAACTTACACTCTTTATGAGTTACTGTGCCTTTCACTCAATGAAAATGAATGGTTGCATTACTTGCTGCTGTCAATCATCTTAGTGGACCACTCAGGGGACAGAAGTTACCTTCAAGGAGTTCAAAAAGCCACATCTACAGGTTGTGATTGGTAGATTTTACACTGATTCCCTGACTGTATTTTTATATTACTATGATTGACAGCAGCATGAAATGAAATTTGTTCAGTGAGTATTAAACTTCAGAGTTTGCATGTTATTGTAGGGATCAGTCCTTAACTACATTTGTCATCTCAGATGTGTCATAGAGTGTATACGAGTCACTGACTTTTCATCTCCAAGGAATTTACCATTTTCCAGGCTTTCAGTTAAATAGGGAACAGCGTGAAAAAACAATGGAGTGAAAAAAAGGAGAGAGAGGCTTGGTGGGATTCTCTCACCTTCCTGCACCACTCCTCTTCTTTATTTTTTGTGCACCATTTTTTCTGCTGCACCCCAACTAAGTGAATGCCTGGAAGAGGCTAAAAGGAATTTATTAGCAACTTTTCATTTGATGCAAATTATAAATGGCCTCATGTAAACACAATGTGCAAACAACCATCAGCAGTATTTCCTTTGTTGTCTGGCTATGCATGTCACATCAGTTAATGTGTGACACCAAAATGGCTTTAATACGTGGATAACTACGTGAGGAACACAAATTATTGTCAGTAGTAACAAACAGAAGCCCCTTCAGGCATCTCTGATTTTTCTTGAGGAGATAGGTTACCTGTGCAAAAGCTATTCGGAAGTCTTGACAAAAATGCAAAGCCTAGAAGGTTAAGCTTGAATTATAAGGTTCATCAATGCATATCATATTCCACGATGTAAATTATGTACATATAGGCAGCTCAATTGTTGCATCAGTCTCAGCAGGTCAGCACATTCAAATGTGGTAACACAAAGGAGAAAGGTTCCTAAACT